TTCAGAGGTTGCATGGCGTTTCACTTTCCTTCTTATGATGTCTTCAACGAAACCATTGGAGAAGCCGTTGTTGACTAGGACCTGCCTTACCCTACAGAGTTCTTCATCGACTTGCTTCCATCCTGAGCTGTGGCTGAGAGCACGGTCGACATAAGCGTTAACAACACTCCTCTTGTACCTGTCTGGGCAGTCACTGTTGGCATTTAGGCACATTCCTATGTTCGTTTCCTTAGTGTAGACTGCAGTGTGGAAACCTCCGTTCCTTTCCATGACTGTTACATGTAGAAAGGGCAGCTTCCCATCCTTCTCCATCTCGTAAGTGAAACGCAACACAGAATTCTGCTCAAATGCCTCCTTCAGCTCCTGCAGATGTCTGACATCAGGTACCTGTGTAAAAACAATGTCAAGACACATAAGCCTGGAAACCCACTTCGGCCAATCATTAGCCAGATACCCACACCCATGTACAGACTGGCGAAACGACTAAACGGCATGCTGACTCCTTATGTCCCTTGCACCTTCAGCCTGAAGTCTCCAAAGGAATTTGTTGACTTACTGTGGGGAACACGGGCCACAGGGATAAGAGCCTCGTTGGACGTAGAATCACTGTTTACCAACGTACCTGTGGATGAAACAATAGGGATGATAGCGGACAGAGTGTATCGTGATCTGGCCTGTACTCCTCTTGACATACCAGAAAACATTCTAAGGAAACTACTCCAAGCTTGTACTAAAGAGGCACCCTTCTTGAGCCCGGATGGGCACATGTATAAGCAAGTAGATGGGGTCGCCATGGGTTCTCCCCTAGGTGTCCTGTTTACGAACTTCTACATGGGTACCATCGAGCAAAAAGTCTTAGTCGACATGAACTTGAAACCGGCCATATACTGCAGGTATCTTGACGACATTTTTACACAGGTACCTGATGTCAGACATCTGCAGGAGCTGTAGGAGGCATTTGAGATGCCTCCTTCAGGTAGAATCTACCTGAAGGAGGTAGAATCTACCCACTTCAAGACTCCGCTCCAATATAGAAGCTTCAAGAAATATGGGCCAATAGGCCCTCTGCAATTACTTCCATTCTCACCTTCAATAACCATTATTTCGTGTTCTGTCTTGTGTTGAAAGTTTGTTTTCACCTCATGCAAAACTGTTGTAACATATCACCTCACCCAAAAGCAGGTATAAAAAAAATCGAAGATGTTTAAGCTCTATTCAGTTATAGTTCAGTTGTGTGTGTAAACTAAAGTCTTTGAAAATGTAATAAGTTTTACGAAACGCGCTGAAGTGTCGCGTCAGACTAGAAATAAAAATGAATTTTGGAGAATTGATTTTTCAATTACCATGAACACTGAAAAGAAATATAAGAAAGATCGAGAAAGTTCGTGTTAGAATTATTAATCTTACTTTTTCGGTCATATTTAATATATATATATATATATATATATATATATATATATATATATATATATATATATATATATATATATATATATATATATATATATATATATATATATATATATATATATATATATATCCCTGTGGCCCGTGTTCCCCACAGTAAGTCAACAAATATATATATATATATATATATATATATATATATATATATATATATATATATATATATATATATATATATATATATATATATATATATATATATATATATATATATATATATATATATATATATGCAGAATAACCACATATGAAAAATAGAAAATGCTTAACGCGTTTTCGGCTAATTCGCCTTCATCAGAGCAAAGTAGAATCAACGTACTTTGATTCTACTTTGCTCTGATGAAGGCGAATTAGCCGAAAACGCGTTAAGCATTTTCTATTTTTCATATGTGGTTATTCTGCATATATGGATCAGTATTTTTGTATATATATATATATATATATATATATATATTAGTATATTTTGGTAGCAGTCTTTCCTGTAGACATATATTATTAAATATGACCGAAAAAGTAAGATTAATAATTCTATCACGAATTTTCTCGATCTTTCTTATGTTTCTTTTCACTGTTGATGGTAATTGAAAAATCAATTCTCCAAAATTCATTTTTATTCATGGGCACCTACTTGTACTTAGTTTTCTATTCATTCAACATGTCTTATTCTTTGTGGAGTGATGTCTAACCTAAACAAAATGCCATTTACTTTGAACCTCGTTGCTTATGTTACATGCGTCTGAAAGTTTCACTCTCTGGCTTCATCTAGTTTAGTGCTCCATGTATCTTCATTGCCAAGTAAATATATGTTTCTCATTCAATTTATAGGGTGTTGAAATTAATCATGACTATGATATCTCATTCAAATACTGTAGAGACATCCGCCACTTGATATGTGCTTGTAGTTGCCTTGTATCCTCTTATTCCTATATATGTAGGTATTTATGAGTTGCATGTTGGTGAGGATATGAAATAGGTTAGTCCTAAACATTACATGTAATACTCAAATTGAGTGTATTTGTTTTAACAAATACTTTAGTTATTTCATTTATGCACTCACTATCCAATGGCAGTACATGTGCTTGCACACCTTGTATATGTGATTGGTGGCTAACCAATCTCCCACTTGCAACCATGTCTACCGACAGGTGGTAATTTGGCAATTGAGGAGAAGGTGAACATGAGTGAAGCGGAGGCGCGTCACAGGGCAGGAGTGATGCAGGGCGGGTTCTCCTCGCCCCAGCACTGTGTAGCCAGATGGTCCCTCGCTGTAATTGTGTCATACAGGAATAGGGAAACCCAGGTTTGTATTCACTGATTTGTTTTGTGGTTCTCAGTTTTCTGTTATCATTGTTGCTCTTCTTTAAAGCTTTTAATGACCCAACTACCTATTATTATGACATAAATTTTCTTCAGTCCCAAGATGACGCCTGTTATGACCTTTCTTTGCCAATAATTCGGGTTCTTTTCGTCTCTCTTTCTATAAGGCGTCAGTGCCTCTTTCTTCACAGATCCAACCCCAAGTGAGGGTGAAGTTATCAAGAACTGAGCAGTTTTTCACTATTATTATTTTCTACCACAGACGTGGCCACGCATTAACAATGCTAACCGCAATATATATACATTTTCCTCTGTGACAACCAAACGGGGGTTAAACAACACTAGACAAAAACCAAACCTAACCGAACCTAACCTATGCCTATATATGCACAATATGATAATATATTATAATATAAATTTATATTTGAGAAAATTCCTGTTTTGAATGAACAACATGTAAAAATTTATCAATGCGTGTTTGGGGTCGACCGCTGGATGAAATGGACTTGAGTCGAGGACGGGTTGCACAGTTTACATATGGTCAGGTCAACATCAGAAACGTGGTAAAAACTCCCAGTTATTTCCTATTTAACATATAATCCTTATTATATGTTATTATTCATTAACTGAGTTTTGGAGGAACCGCTCCTGTGACAGGTAAGTCCACTACGGGCTTATTATAGCCCGTGTTGTATGAAACTTTTTGTTCCGAATAGCTAAATCTAAAATAACAAACAATTGCTTAATAGCTCACCAAATTGTTTAAGAAAATAATGCGCAGACTAATTTAATTCTTCTTTAGTGTGCCAAAAAATATTTACAATTTTCTTTGATTTCTGAGAAAGAAAATTTAAAAGATGAGGAACACTTCTATCAAAGTATTAGGAATGTTCAAGACAAAAATCAGAATTTAATTAATATGAAACTCTGCAGATCTAAGAAAGTTGTATGAATATTTCTTCAAGATAGAGTGGGCACCTTTGACAAGCCACCGACTTCCTGTCCCCGTTGAGGCCACTAGAGAAATAATAATTCACTGCGTCTGGGGACAGGAATCCAGAGTGTATGCATCCACGTTTGGCTTTTATCGAGGCCAAACTTTAATCTTAATTTTCCCCAGAAAACGACACACCAAATCGTTTAACAACCAGGCACCCATTCACTGCTGGGTGAACATAGACTACAGTTAATGACTGCCGCCCAGTCAAACCTACCGGCCAAGATACGAACCCAGGCCAAAAAGCGCTCATGAAGCGCTAGACGAGTGCCTTACCACTGTGCCACACGGACTGTACCTGGCAAGTGTGACTGCACTGTTTCTCTCTTACTAGCAAGACGTATCACGTGAAAGATGCCAGGTGGTTATGCTCAGGCTTGGTCAGGAGGGGGGGGGGGTCATGCCAGGTGGTTATGCTCAGGCTTGGTCAGGAGGGGGGGGGGTCATGCCAGGTGGTTATGCTCAGGCTTGGTCAGGAGGGGGGGGGTCATGCCAGGTGGTTATGCTCAGGCTTGGTCAGGAGGGGGGGGGGGTCAATGAATGGTCGCAGAGGGCCAACTTTCATAAAAATGCTACCAATTACCTTTTATTCAATCAATATAATTTGTCATTCTTTTCTGTAAGTATATAACTTACACTACATGTGCACATGTATACACATGTACATGTGTATACATGTACATGTATATAGAAATGCATAAATCATAGGCATTTATCACCGAGTAATACCTAGTGAACAGTTCAAAATGGGGCCTACATATTCCATCTGGTCTGGGACTATTACCAGCTTTGCTCAGTCCGACATTTACGCTGACACTGTTAATGGTGACACTGTCTGTCAGTGGCAAGGAGTCAGCGGGGCGGGGCATTTGATTTGGGATAAGATTGACTTGTCACCAGTCTCCGTGGTGTAGTGGTAAGACACTCGCCTGGCGTTCCGCGAGCGCTTTGTCATGGCTTCGTATCCTGGCCGAGGAGGATTTACTGGGCGCAAATCCTTAACTGTAGCCTCTGTTTAACTCAACAGTAAAATGTGTACTGTACTGTAAACCGCGAAGAATCGTTGTAACAACGATTCTTCGCGGCAGGGGATCGTATTCCAGGGACCTGCCCGAAACGCTACGCGTACTAGTGGCTGTACAAGAATGTAACAACTATTGTATATATCTAAAAAAAAAAAAAAAAAAGATTCAGCCAAAAATGAACTTGCTGATGGAAGATGAACCCAGCTGAACCTGGCAGTCCTAATGCCACTGGGAAAGCTCTCATCGTGGGCAATGAAACAATTACTGGTAAATTAGTCAATGATGAACTAGGTAAAAAGTTGGATAGAATGTTTGGGGTCAGTGTTTCATTGATAGAGCTGACACATCAGTATAGATACTAACACCTGATGCAGACCGACATAATCTGGCAGCAGAAACAGCATCACTGATGCTAGCAGCAACACTGATGACAGCAGCAACACTGACGCTGGCAGCAACACTGATGCTGGCAGCAACACTGATGCTGGCAGCAACACTGATGTCAGCAGCAACACTGATGTCAGCAGCAACACTGATGCTAGCAAAAATACTGATGTCAGCAGCAACACTGATATCAGCAGCAACACTGATGCTAGCAGCAACACTGATATCAGCAGCAACACTGATGCTAGCAGCAACACTGATGCTGGCAGCAACACTGATGCTGGCAGCAACACTGATGCTGGCAGCAACACTGATGCTGGCAGCAACACTGATGCTGGCAGAAAACACTGATGCTGGCAGCAACACTGATGCTGGCAGCAACACTGATGCTGGCAGCAACACTGATGCTGGCAGCAACACTGATGCTGGCAGCAACACTGATGCTGGCAGCAACACTGATGCTGGCAGCAACACTGATGCTGGCAGCAACACTGATGCTGGCAGCAACACTGATGTCAGCAGCAACACTGATGTCAGCAGCAACACTGATGTCAGCAGCAACACTGATGTCAGCAGCAACACTGATGTCAGCAGCAACACTGATGTCAGCAGCAACACTGATGTCAGCAGCAACACTGATGTCAGCAGCAACACTGATGCTAGCAAAAATACTGATGTCAGCAGCAACACTGATGTCAGCAGCAACACTGATGCTAGCAACACTGATGTCAGCAGCAACACTGATGCTAGCAGCAACACTGATGCTGGCAGCAACACTGAAGTCAGCAACAACACTGATGCTGGCAGCAACACTGATGTCAGCAACAACACTGATGCTGGCAGCAACACTGATGTCAGCAGCAACACTGATGCTAGCAGCAACACTGACATCAGCAGCAACACTGATGCTAGCAGCAACACTGATGCTCAGCAACACTGATGCTGTCAGCAACACTGATGCTAGCAGCAACACTGATATCAGCAGCAACACTGATGCTAGCAGCAACACTGATGCTAGCAGCAACACTGATGTCAGCAGAAACACTGATGTGCTAGCAGCAACACTGATGTCAGCAGCAACACTGATATCAGCAGCAACACTGATGCTAGCAGCAACACTGATATCAGCAGCAACACTGATGCTAGCAGCAACACTGATGCTGGCAGCAACACTGATGTCAGCAGCAACACTGATGTCAGCAGCAACACTGATGTCAGCAGCAACACTGATGCTGGCAGCAACACTGATGTCAGCAGCAACACTGATGCTGGCAGCAACACTGATGCTGGCAGCAACACTGATGCTGGCAGCAACACTGATGCTGGCAGCAGCAACACTGATGCTGGCAGCAACACTGATGCTGGCAGCAACACTGATGCTGGCAGCAACACTGATGCTGGCAGCAACACTGATGTCAGCAGCAACACTGATGCTGGCAGCAACACTGATGTCAGCAGCAACACTGATGTCAGCAGCAACACTGATGTCAGCAGCAACACTGATGTCAGCAGCAACACTGATGTCAGCAGCAACACTGATGCTGGCAGCAGCAACACTGATGCTAGCAGCAACACTGATGCTGGCAGCAACACTGAAGTCAGCAACAACACTGATGCTGGCAGCAACACTGAAGTCAGCAACAACACTGATGCTGGCAGCAACACTGATGTCAGCAGCAACACTGATGCTAGCAGCAACACTGACATCAGCAGCAACACTGATGCTAGCAGCAACACTGATATCAGCAGCAACACTGATGCTAGCAGCAACACTGATATCAGCAGCAGCACTGATGCGAGCAGCAACACTGATGCTAGCAGCAACACTGATGTCAGCAGAAACACTGATGTTAGCAGCAACACTGATGTCAGCAGCAACACTGATGCTAGCAAAAATACTGATGTCAGCAGCAACACTGATATCAGCAGCAACACTGATGCTAGCAGCAACACTGATGCTGGCAGCAACACTGATGCTGGCAGCAGCAACACTGATGCTGGCAGCAACACTGATGCTGGCAGCAACACTGAAGTCAGCAACAACACTGATGCTGGCAGCAACACTGAAGTCAGCAACAACACTGATGCTGGCAGCAACACTGATGTCAGCAGCAACACTGATGCTGGCAGCAACACTGATGCTGGCAGCAACAACACTTATGCTGGCAGCAACAACACTGATGCTGGCAGCAACACTGATGCTGGCAGCAACAACACTGATGCTGGCAGCAACAACACTGATGCTGGCAGCAACACTGATGTCAGCAGCAACACTGATGCTGGCAGCAACACTGATGCTGGCAGCAACACTGATGCTGGCAGTAACACTGATGCTGGCAGCAACACTGATGTCAGCAGCAACACTGATGCTGGCAGCAACAACACTGATGCTGGCAGCAACAACACTGATGCTGGCAGCAACACTGATGTCAGCAGCAACACTGATGCTGGCAGCAACACTGATGCTGGCAGCAACACTGATGCTGGCAGCAACACTGATGCTGGCAGTAACACTGATGCTGGCAGCAACACTGATGTCAGCAGCAACACTGATGCTGGCAGCAACAACACTGATGCTGGCAGCAACACTGATGCTGGCAGCAACACTGATGTCAGCAGCAACACTAATGCTGGCAGCAACACTGATGCTGGCAGCAACACTGATGTCAGCAGCAACACTGATGCTGGCAGCAACAACACTGATGTCAGCAGCAACACTGATGCTGGCAGCAACACTGAAGTCAGCAACAACACTGATGCTGGCAGCAACACTGATGCTGGCAGCAACACTGATGCTGGCAGCAACTCTGATGCTGGCAGTAACACTGATGTCAGCAGCATTACTGATGCTGGCAGAAACACTGATGCTGGCAGCAATACTGGTGTCACCAGCAACACTGTTGTCAGCAGCAACACTGTTGTCAGCAGCAACACTGTTGTCAGCAGCAACACTGTTGTCAGCAGCAACACTGTTGTCAGCAGCAACACTGTTGTCAGCAGCAACACTGATGTCAGCAGCAACACCGAAGCTGGAAGCATCACTAATGTCAGCAGCAACACCGAAGCTGGAAGCATCACTGATGCTGACAGCAACACTGATGCTGGCAGCAACACTGATGCTGGCAGTAACACTGATGTCAGCAGCATCACTGATGCTGGCAGCCACACAGATGTCCGCAGCAACACTGATGACAGCAGCAACACTGATGTCAGCAGCAACATTGATGACAGCAGCAACACTGATGTCAACAGCAACAGCAGCAACACTGATTCTGGCAGACTCATTGATGTCAGCAGCAACACTGATGATCAACATTGATGTCAGCAGCAACACTGATGCTAGCAACAATACTGATGTCAGCAGCAATACTGATATCAGCAGCAATACTGATCTCAGCAGCAACACTGATGTCAGCAGCAACACTGATGTCAGCAGCAATACTGATCTCAGCAACAACACTGATGTCAGCAACAACACTGATACTAGCAGACAACACTAATGCTAGCAGTATCAGTGTTGTTAGCAGCAGCAGCATCTGGGTTGTTATTCTCATTAACATCTAGCCAATAGATGTTTGGTGAGTGCATGGTTGAGACTAAAGGTCTAGATCTAAGACTATAAGTGCTGGCATATGTTTTTGAATCCAAGCCCCAATACAAATAACTACAATGTGGGACAATTTGGGACATTTGGGGCTTGACTCTATTTATTTAAATATTAATGTAATGAAATTCTATTACGAAGGACCACCCGCTTTTATAGTAAAGAGGGAAACTAATAAAATATGATCATTAGAAAATTCCTAGATGAACCAGTAACTATGGATAAATACTAGAGAATATGATCACTTATATAAATTAATGGGCTGTATAATTTAACTGAATCAAAGCCTCAAACACCTACATTGGGGGGTTATTACTGGAACTTCATATATGTCCAGGAACTAGTGTGGTTCGTGCACCAGTCCATTATGCAATAATCTAATCCTATGACCAATTATTGAATCATTATATTTATCACCAATAAGAACATAGATTATAACATGAGAAATTAATAATTATAATAAACACATGTCAATCCAAAGAAACAGTGCTCTGCATGAATAATACTACAGATAATGGAATTTAAGGAATACGGAAAGGGTCTTAGCTTGAAGACGATTTCCAAGAAGTCGGTTACGACTCATCCTCGGAATCTCCTGGACTCATCATGGAACACTGGGAGATGATTAACACGGGAAATGACAGCTCGGAGAATTCTTCACACACGCTGTAAATCAAATTATATTCAGTAGCAACAGATTAAGCTGCTAGACATCTATGTTCAAGAAAATTAAATTAAATAATGAAGGTAAATAATAACCTGTGGTGTTTTATAGTCGCTCTGCGTAACGACAAGCTACCCAGCTATAACCCCCTCCTAGATGATGCATCAAATGGGAATAAAGGTACTTAGCTAATAGGGCACTGTGTAAGTTAAGGCTTGCCGAGGTTCGCGTCCTAGGTTCAGGCGTCGTTGTAACGAACACGTGGTGTCTAGCCTAGCCTAGATGTTGACGCGCTTCACTGGCCGGTCACGTTGGGCTACACGGAACCAAATTTAACAGGTTCCTCGCTGAATGTCAAATTAAATCTCTTGACAATTCAACACGTTGTGTAAAATGACACTGACACCAGCTAAGTTATTGTCTGCAAAGGTTCTTCACACCTCACAGTGGCGACTTTCATCTGGAGCTCTTGGTGGCGTCTACCCTGGTGGCTTGGGTAATGGCGTCTCTCTCTGAGCGCGTCGCCTCATGTACTAGCGTCTCCCCTGCCCCGCTCCGCGTCCCGCGTTTGATACACAAATTATTTACTACGAATATTATCATTTCTCGCAGTTGTGATTGAAATGCTCGGATAAGGATGGGTTTATTATTCAGAGGAGTTAAATATTATTATTTGCCCGTTTTACGATGGTAAACGAGCAATGGAGATGAATTAAAGTCTCTCCAGGGCATTCACGCGTGACGTTAAATTTATTACCAGATAACAGTTATAACTATAAACGCTCTATTTGGCATTAGTTGGAGATCATTTTATCTGTAAATAATTATCACTCAGAACACCGTTGTTTTATAGAGAATCAAATTCAATTCTCAGACACACTGGATATAGTTGTGTTTATTATAATGGAATCTGACGCAATACTGGCGTCTGGTGACGTAAGAATTCTAGCCTTATTGTACAGATGTAATTATTAGTACATGTGAACTCTACGTTTGGTTAATTTTAATCACTACAATGATTAGTAGATTTAGTAATAATTAATGATAATACAACAGTGTTGTATTTAGTGTTGGAAATTTCCAACATAACTCCGGGGGGAGAGTTTTAGGGTCGCAGTGTAATGTGGAGTACTGACACACCTATCCCGAAGTTGGTATTAATATTAGTATGTTAGTATGTTAGTATGTTAGTACACACATAACGAATGTCCCGTATTTGTCAAGGACATACAAGAAACTTAAGTCTTGCTGATTTCATGTTAAATGGAACATGTTATTATGAATTACCTAAAGTTGATAATTAAGAAAACTTACAATAACTCTGAGACTGGTGTCGCTATGACATGTAATGTGTATGTTACAAATCTCTAAGTCTGCAAACTCTCAGGTACTCTAGATAAATAATGTTCTTTATAGCCTATACAACAATTAAAGATTTAAATCACACAATTCAAACAACAGAATCTTCTGTGATGGGAATGTCCTGGGTCATAGTGACTTGTAATGGTTTGTTACTTGACATTACACCACAGTATCATCATAGTTACCTAAATTGGATGTAAAAGGAATTACTCTTGGTCAGAGCTGTAATAGGCTTGCAGTTTCCGCTTACATTGTTGAGCTGCAGCTCTAGTGGGGCGGTTGCTCGGAGGATCAGAATTACTGTCCTCGGAAACTACTGGAGAAACTGGATCTGGTTGATGTTCTCGCTCAGCCAATTCAAGAGGAACCAGCTTCTCTAAAGTTTATAGAGTAGTGTTGCCTCGGCATAAAACTTTCAATACTCTCAGGACACCTTGATGATCTGGATGAATGGCAACAATTTTGCCTATGGGCCACTCTGACCTTGGTCCATCACTGTCGACTAGTACTAGGTCCCCTGGTTTTAGTTGCACTTTATTATAAGGACTCGAAGCTCCGTAGTGGTACTCTCGTAGAGCTGTGAGGTACTCTCGAGTCCACACCTCATTCCACCTGTTAATAACCCCTGAAAGATGCTGGTAGCTTTCCACCAAGTCACCTCTGGTCACATGTGACGGGTCTACGGGGTCCTCTTCGGTTAAAGGGATGAGAGGGCTCAGTAGACCTCCATGGATCAAGTGTGAGGGACTCATAGGTTCTCTCTGGGTGAAATCATCAGACAGGTATGTTAATGGGCGGTTATTGACTCGCGCCTCGATTTCCACAACAATGGTTTGGAGCTCGGAGTAACTGACCTTTTGTCTGTGCAAAGTTTTTCTTAAACACTTCTTGACTGTGCCTACTATTCGCTCATAGAACCCACCTTGCCAAGGGGCTCTTGGTGCTATAAATTTCCAGTGACATTGTCGTCTCTGCAGGACTGACTGTACTTCTGGGTGGTTCCAGCTCCTGTCCTCAATACCCCAGTGGATGATCGTCTCCAACAGTCGGTCCCGGGTAAATCCTCTTACTGCCACTCCACTGGCAGGCTAACACACCACAGTGTTCTTCCAGGGGGACGACTTCACAACAGCTGCAGCAACGTTCAAGGTATGGAGACTGGCTGCCTTGGGTAGACTGACTCAACCTTCAACACAGCGGTCCCAGGTCGACTCTGTAAACAGACACGTCATCAATAACTGGGACACTAAAACACCTCACTTACGGGTTCGGGCGCAAACACCTGACGTATCCAGTCCATAGATGGCGCTGTCGTCGGAGCACCACCTCACCAGAGGTCAAGAGCGGCTGTGTTGTGAGCTGCACAGGACTGGAAACTGGCCCTTGTGGCCGATATTCGCCGTCCTCATCCGGTGTCGTCGTTCGTTTGGCGGGGGTTTCGGGAGCTGACCCACAGATGGCGTAGTCACTGCTCCAGGCTCGGACACTGGATCCGGGTTCGTAACACCTCCCCACCAAAAAGAATTTGGTTTGAGGTTCTATAAAAAGAGACACAAACCAAATTAGTTCGGCGACACAACTCCAAATGGACTTACTTATACTATGAACTGGAGTAGCGAGGCTGTCTCGTCCACAAAAATGTCCTACTAGCCATTTCCGGCACAACGGGAACTTGCAGATGATCACGTCGGGCAATGATCTGCCCGACGTAATCTTCCACGTCTCCACTGCGATGTCAAGCAGGGGCATCATCTCACATGTCTCAAGTAAGGATCTGTGTGGACACGATCTGGGGCGACTCGACACTTCCTTATGTCGTGGCACCGATGATGGCTGGACACAGACGGCATTTCTGGTACCGGTCCGATGGTCCTCAGGGGAGACAGGAACCTGGAATACAGGGGTCTGATAATTCAGAGTGATAGCGACAGCGGGTAAAACAGTACTTACAGCATACTCTACTAGGTCCACACCTAGTCCCAACGGGGCTGTTCGTACGTCGCAGGTGGCATTCGCTCTGCCACCGTCAGGTCGACCAACGCTCCACATAACGCTGCATTGAGGCTCAGCAGTCACGCGGGGGGTGTCAACCTGTCGGAAACAGTCACTCCTATTATCATTTCTCGTACCTCCTGTATCAACCATCACCTTCCAGGTCCCTTCTTCAACTGCAACACTTGCAGTACAAATCTCCAATCCCTGGGACCTATTCACGATGTTCATGGGAGCCATCATTCTTCGGGTCGTCCACTAATCCTTACTGAGAACACAAACGAGAATAAAACAAAATACTGCTAGGAAACGTTTGGTCATCTGAGGGATAAGCTTCCTGAACTTGTCATGTCCATAGCCGGCAACATCCATAAGCCTGGCTTGGACCGAAGAGGGCACTAGACCTTTTGAACACACCACACATACCTCTGACGTCTGGGGAATCTCTGGCTGGTTCACTACATGCTGTAACTTGCCATACCGCAAGCACACATCCGCCTTCGCTCCAGACTCGTTGGTATCCGTGGGTGCCTGCACACAAGGCCTCTCTTCTAGCTCAGGTACTTCTGCCATCGTAACCTCATGTTCCTTGTCGAGAGAATCAGGAGACACTGCTAGAACGTTCTCAATCTGTAGGCGAGAGGACAAATTAAACATAGTTACATCCGGGTCTGTCTTTACCCGGACATTACCATTG